TGCATCATTTTTCCTTAAATACCTCTTTATGGCCGAATTATACCTCAAGGCAAACCAAAGGATTTCCAATTCATTTTCACTCATCCAATACATCATACATCATGTAATTAACTACTACAACTAATCCTTAACTCAATTACACAAGCATACAACAATCCAATTTCACAAAGTCATGCTCATCCAACCAAAATTTTCCTAAGTTACAAACTTTTTTCACAATAATTCTTATGAGCTCAATCACTCTAATTCATCATTCTAAGCAACATTTGTCTAATGCACAAATTCAATTTGAGGTCTCCAACTACCCAAACTCACCAACACATAGCTTAGGTCTTCAATATATGATCCCATTAAAACTCAATGAAAATCAAGAAAACTCACCACCAATTAAATCACAAGGCTCCAAGGAATGAGTTTCAAGTGTACAACAAAGCAAAACAAGCTCCAATGCTCATGAATTTCTCCAAAACTGCCACCCTCATCACAAAATAATCTCCTCACACACTCACTTTTAGGAGGACTTCGTGACACAAAAAATGTTCACAAGAGGGAGGGGAACAACTTTGATGTTCAACAATTTTTGATTTGATGAGTGGAAGTTAACAAAATCAAGGCAACAAGAAGCTTCCCCTTTATTTCCATGGTGGCTGCATTTTTGGGGCTGTTCCACGAAGAGGGAGCCTGCTGTTAGGAGAGAGAAAGTGCAAGGAAAAAATGCTTAAGTGACTTGGATTGCCACGTAGGCTCTAATAAGACGAAATACCACTTAAACAACTTATTTAACCCATTAATCACCACTTAATTCATGAATTATCCATTAAATAAATTTTTTTAAGATTCAACAAAGTCCATTAATTACCCTTGATCAGATGAATACAGAGTTTTCCGATCGTTTGGTGAAATCACAGTTTTAAGCTTTTATGCGCGTTGTGGGCACGCTTCCCAAAAAATCCTAATTTTAATCAATTTTCACCAGAAATCATATTTCCTAGTACTATGTACCATTTATAACATATTTCCGAACATAGAGCTCAAAATTCATTGGGCAAGCTTTACGGTGCAACTGTACCGCGGTGTTTTTACCCGGTAAAAATACTATTCATCAAATTTCCAGAAACTTGCCTATCCACTCAATTTTTCGTTCTGAATCCATTTTCAGGATTAGTTTTCCCATTTGGGACCTTCTACTCAAATTTCATTTCCTAGGGTTACGTGTTTGGCAAATTATCGTTTTACCCATTTTACGTATTTTGACACATAATTCAAAATTTTCATTAATCCTACCCTTTAATCCATATTTTATCTATAATTATGTGACTTAGAATTACGAGGTGTTATAGCAATCATGTACATCTGTTAAACTCACATATATATATATATATATATGGGTTTTATAAGAGTTATGTTGTAGGAAAGATTATTGTGTTATGTTATAGAGATTCGTTTTGTGTGCCGTAGTTTTTTTTTTTTCAAAACACGCGGGTCCCACAAAATATTGTGTGTGTAAGAAATTTTTTGTGGTCATGTTAAATGATAGATATAAACCCCTATATATATATAGAGGTAGGATCCTATGACATCAGTGTCATTTTGGGAAAATTGTTTGTCATTTTAAATTACATAAAATTATGTCATTTTAAGAGAGATGGACACAAAATAAATTTTTTATTTAAAATTTAAATTAAAAAAATCACCCATTTTCTTCCCTATGATTTTAATTTCTTGTGTCTATCTCTCTCCTAAAATGATATAACTTATATCATTTAAAATGACAAATATCAAACCAATATATATATATGGGTTTTATAAGAGTTATGTTGTAGGAAAAGTGATTGTGTAATGTTATAAGGATTCGTTATGCGTGCCGTAATTTCTTTTTCTTTTTTTTTCTTCAAAAAGTGTGGGCCCCATAAAATATTGTGTGTAGGAAAGTTTGTTGTGTCATGTAAAATGACAAATGCAAACCCCTATATATATATGGGGTATGATATTCTTATACCGGTGTAAGAGTTAGAAGTCTTACACTTAATCTTGACTATTGATCCACTTGTATCCAATGGTTCGAAATACTAAAAAATTTGAGCTGTTAGATATAAATGAAATCAACGGATAAGATTGAGAGTGTAAGTTACACTGGTGTAAAATGATCATGATCCTATATATATATATATATATATATATATATATAGGGATAGGATATTGTGACACACAAATAATGTTACGCACAATGTTACGACCACATCTTAACTGTTGATTTCCGCCAATCAACGGTTATCATTTATTGCGGATTAATAATTAATTAATGAGTTTGATTTGAAAAATGATAACCGTTGATTGGCGGAAATCAACGGTTAAGATGTGGTCGTAACATTGTGTGTAACATTATTTGTGTGTCACAATATCCTATCTCATATATATATATATATATATATATATATATATATATATATATATATATATATATAGGTTTTAGGGCCTGTTTGGAGCACCTAATAAAGAAGACAGGATAAGATAACTTATCATATCCTACTTTTATCTCTTGTTTGGTGGGTCAATAGGATATGATTAACTTATCCTATTGTCTCATTTTATTCTATCCAATACATGATTTCTTATCCTATGGGGAGAGCTGGGTTAGGATTCAACATGATATGATACCAATATTGGATACCCAATATATCCTCACGCTACCCAATATATTTGTATTTATTGCATTATATTTTATTTTTTCTTTCTCCTTTCTCCTTCTACATAATCTTATCATATTGCTAATCAGGTGCTCATCAAACACAAGACATGATATAGGCTTATCAGCTCCATATCATCTCCTACCATTATCAGCCCCATATCATATATCCTACCCTTATCCTATCATGTCCACCAAACGAGCCCTTAATGTTTCTAAAGTGAATGTAGATAAGTAATCTACATTCGCTCCTAAAACGACGTTGTTTTGGGTTAAAAAATTATAATGAAAAAGACTACTATAATCCTGAAATAAATTATAATCACAAAAATACCTTGATTTCCATCTCAAAACGACGTCGTTTTGGGCTCACTGTAGATACGTTATTTACATTGACTGTAGAAAAAGCGAACCTATATATATATATATATATAGTTTGATGTATGTCATTTTAAATGACATAAGTTATATCATTTTAGGAGAGAGATAGACACAAGAAATGAAAATCATGGGAGAGAGAAAATGAGTGATTTTTTTAATTTAAATTTTAAATAAAAAATTTATTTTGTGTTTATTTCTCTCTTAAAATGACATACCTTTATGTCATTTAAAATGACAAACACTTTTTCCATATATATATATATATATATATATATATATGGATCAGGATAATTTAACACCGGTGTAAAATTAATAAGTCTTACACCACATCTCAACCGGTGATTTTCGTGCATCCAATAGTTATAATTTAGGAAGTTATACGAATTAATTAATATTAATTAATCATTAATTAGACTACAAATATCAGCCGATAATTTCCATCCATCAACGATTGAGATGTGGTATAAGACTTGTTAGTCTTACAATGGTGTAAAAAGAACTTGCTCATATATATATATATGGCTTATCATTTCTCAAGTTGCCGGAAATAAAGTTATCTCCGGCTACTAAATCATAACCGTACAAAGATGGATCAATGATGATAAAGAAAGAGAGAGAAAAGAAGAATCATAACCATTCAAAAGTAAATCAATACATATAAGGAAATAAATAATCAAAACGACGTAGTTTTGAGGTGGCCGGAGATAAATTTATCTCAAGCAACTTGAGAAATATTTTTTCCATATATATATATAATATAACACATAAAAATCATTGATTGAGGCTTTACTCGCAAACTTAAGCTTGATTCTACGTACTTAATTTTTCTCTTAAAGGCCGTAAAACATCTCGAGGTCTTAAAGAAGAAGAAAATTACTATATGTAATTTTTTTAAAAAAAAAAAACGCTAGCGTCTGTAACTTTTTTGTTTTTGTTTTGTGAGTTATGATTTATCCTCTGAGAACAAAACAATTTACTGGTTCGATGTTTGGTAGTTTATAAACAACATTTTAAACCCAAAATAAAAGGAAATTATTTAAATTCGAGTTTTCAGAATAAAAAGAATATATTTCCGATATTAAATGAGATAAAATTATCTCATATAAGTAAAAAAAAAATAACAAATAAAATTCATTAAGGAGAAGAAAGAAAAATAATTTCATCTCACATAAGAAAATATATTACCCTAAAAAAATTGAAAAATGTGTGTCATTTTAAAGCACATAAACTTAGATCCCTTAAAAAGAGAAACAGACACAAAGAGATGTTAATCTCATTATTCTTTGTCTCTATTTTTTTTTTAAATGACTTAAGTTTATGTCCTTTAAAGAGATACACACCTTTTTAAATAGGAAAAAATGTTTGTCATTTTAAATGACATAAAGTTATATCATTTTAAGAGAGAGACAGACACAAAATAATTTTTTTATTTAAATTTTAAATTAAAAAAAATCACTCATTTTCTCTCTCCCATAATTTCTAATTTTTTGTGTCTATCTCTCTCCTAAAATAACATAACTTATGTCATTTAAAATGACAAACACCAAATCCTTCTAAATAATAATAGGGATTTGCATTTATCATTTAACATGACCATACAAAGTTTTCTACTCACACCACATTTTGTGGGACCCGCATGTTTTCAAGGAAAAAAAAAACTACAGCACGCAAAACGAATTTCTATAACATAATACAATCATTTTTCCTATAACATAACTCTTATAAAATCTATAATAATATAAGGAGAATTATTCTAATATAGATCCAATTGAGCCGGACCGATACGAAAAGGGTAGAGAAGATAAAATAAAAATTAAAAAAAAAAATGAAAAAAGGTCTATGGACTTTAAACAATATAACAGACGAGCCCAGGCCCAATTGAATGTTGGGTCGGGTAAAAATTATTAAAAACCCTAACAACGTTAGTGTCGAAACCCTAGAATTGTTGAGAGAGAGAGAGAGACAGGGGCATAGCATAGCTGCAATTGCTTCAACCAGAACCAGAAGCAAGCATGGCTACTGCGAGAACTGTGAAGGACGTTTCTCCCCATGAGTTTGTCAAGGCTTACTCTGCTCACCTCAAGCGATCTGGCAAGGTTACACACCATTAACCTAAACCCTATCTTTCTCTTCTTTTTATTCTTTCCCCAACAAAATTAGTGTAAAGTTTATAAATTTAATCCAAAACCCATTATTTTTTAGCTTTCTATTTGTAAGGACTGCGTGTAAATAATGTCATTTTTCCACAAGCTTGGTTCTTGGGATATTGCTGATTTGATCTATTTAATGAGATTTTTTTCTCTCTCTTGTAAATCATCTTGCCCAAGTGTTTTTATTGAAGTTTTTTGTTTGGATCGGTGTGTTTTAAGTTGGGTTGAGTTCAAGTTTACATCTTGGATTTACTTTGATATATGTTTCCTGGATGACATGTAAGATTATGACTGTGTTACAGGGACTTAGGTATCATGAGTTCCTGTCTTGCCCCAACAATAATATAAGCAATTAAATAAATAACAAACGAATTGATTGTGGTGTAGGAATGGATTATAACTTGTGAAGTGATAAAGGAGAAGCATTCTCTTAATCATGGTTTCCTAATTTAATTACGACTAATTGTCTCAATTATATAGTACTGTTTTCTGTTTTGAATAATTTTTATTGCTTCGGGGGGAAATTAAAGTGTGTGATTTCCTTTATCAAATTCTGTTGAATCTCTATTCTAATTTCTTTTATTTATTTATTTTGGTTCTAAACAGATGGAGCTTCCTGAGTGGACAGATATCGTGAAGACAGCAAGATTTAAGGAGTTGGCTCCTTATGACCCTGACTGGTACTATGTCAGAGCTGGTAGGTTTTTTATTTTTATCTTGCTCATTACCTGGTTACTTGTGCAAATGTGCTTTCTTCTGGTAAGTGCACAAAAATGAAACTTACAAGGAAATCTTTTTGGTCTTTTCTTGTGGAAATTTGCTCTATATGTTTTTGTGTGTGCTTAATTCAAACTTGATTTCAGCTTCCATGGCAAGAAAGATCTACTTGAGAGGAGGGCTTGGTGTTGGTGCATTTCAGAGGATTTATGGTGGGAGCAAGAGGAATGGTAGTCGCCCACCTCATTTCTGTAAGAGCAGTGGTGCTATTGCTCGTCACGTTCTTCAACAGTTGCAGAACATGAACATCATTGAAATGGACACCAAGGGGTAAGGACTCATTTACCTTGTTAGTCTGCTATATTTTATACAGATAATAGAACAATATTGAATATAGTAGCTATAGATGAGTCAAAAGGCTATTTTAATTTGTTCACTTTTTTTTTTAATATTATGCTCTACAATTATGTGAATTTTCACTTTCTTTATCAATGTATTCTCCTCAGCAATTATTGATGCTATTCTTGGGTTTTTTATTCTGCATCAGCATGAGTATCTTCATCTCATATTTTTTCATAGTTGTTCTTTCTTTATCTCAGTGGCAGGAGAATCACTTCCAGTGGCCGGCGAGATCTTGACCAAGTGGCTGGACGGATTGTGGTTGCACCTTGATCGGCAAACTGCTGAGGTTTTCTAGCCTTTTGCCAATAAGCATATAGGCTTTTGGTTCTTGTTGGAGAATTTTGATGACAACGGATTATGCGCAAATTTTGATGTTAGATACCTGAGTGTCTATTATATGTTGGAGTTATTCAAAGTTATGATGCTTTGCTTCTAGTCTTTTAGATGATATTGCCACATTTAATTTTCAGAGTGTTTTGCATTTTCTTTCTGAACATTCTTGTTCTTTCAGTGTCCTTTACGTATGAAAAGAAAATTTTAAGGGTAAATCACACTGATCACCTTGTGCATGTTATAATGACACACTAAATAACCAAGTTGTTCTTAGGTTACACTATCTCCATATTAGGGGTAATAAACATGCTTACAAGTGTTCCCTTTCAACGGGAGTTAAAATGAGTTTCATTTATCGCTTTGAATAATTTAAATAGATAAATGCTTTATGTCATGCTTACTATAGTGTAACTAAGTAGTGTTTTTACCATTCCATTAGGTATAGCTGTTCTGTTTTTTATGTAGCGTCTGTACTTTCAATTGGGATCTTGGGAGAGGTCGGTGTTTCAATGCATTGGGGAAGGGAGAAGGGTCATAGATATAATGTGATCAACTTAAAAGAATGAAAAGGAAATGAATAATAGCGATTTAATTTGAAGAGGACTATGATCTATGTGGGTAATAATTTCCTTAAATTGAGAATTGATTGACCTATTTTATACCAATAAGAACACAATTCAGTTGTGTCGACAAAATACCCTAGATTATAATCATGTTAACTGTAGTATAATGTAACATACCCAAAAGTTGGCAACAATTAAAATAAATTTCAAATTTTAGTTATTAAAATTAATATAGAAGACTTTCAAGGAATAACAAAAATCAATTGAAATATACATACGTAGACTAACAAAATTTCCTTATTTTTGTAAAGAAGTAGTATAACAATTAGTAATAAAGTTCTAGCTTAAATAATCTATGTGAAAAGCAAGAATTTATTATTTTAAATCATGTTTGAAGGAAGAGAAGTGAATAAAATAAATTTATAAATTACTTAAGAGTTTGATTATACATGCATATATAATTCAAGCATATAAGAATATCTAACAATTCACAAACACATTTAATCTAAAATGTATTATAATATATGAAAAAAAGTGATTCTCCACGAGATAAAATAATCTTTCTGTAACCTGTTGTTGTGAGAGTTAGGGAAATTAATGAAAGATATTTTGCTAATTTTATTTATTTTTTTATTATATGAATTTTACCAAAATATATATTTTGCTAATTTTATTTATTTTTTTATTATATGAATTTTACCAAAATATTCTTCATTAAATCTCTAAAGAATTAATTCAACCCAAAAGTTTAAGTTGTTAAGTAAAGGCTTCTTTAATGATTTTATACATCTCTAACATAGTTGTAAGAAATAACTTTATCTCTTGTAACAGGAGAAATGATAAAGTCATAATACATACATATATTATTTTAATGATTTTTAAAAGTTTTTGTTGTTTCACCCTTTTGCGTTAATTTTAATATCAGATTACAATATATTTTTCTTTTTCCCATTATGCTCAAAAAACTTCTTTCATCTCCTCTTTTTTATTGGTTTCTCTTGCATCTCTTCTCAAGAATGTGAGCAATAATCATATCTTCTTACTTCTCGCTTTGATCTTTGAAAATCTAGCTATCTTTCAGTTACAAAAATTTCTCGTGAGGTACAGTATTATTAAAGGGATTTACGAATATCATATTATAGGAAGGAGTTTGTGTCATGTTGTAGAAATATCTCATGTGGGGCCCACCATTTAAAATAAAATAAAATAGAAGTGGAGTCCACATGAGATGTCTCTACAACATGACACAAATTTCCTTCTACAACAATCAAATGGTTGTCAGTTGGTAGTAAAGGAACTGAAAAAAAAAAAAAAAAGTGTCTCGGTTTAATCATCACATACCACCTTTTGAAGGGGTTTAAATTTTATCCCTGATACACCCCGCATTCCGAATTAGTCCCATAGTCAGTTCAAAGAGTCGAAGCATGTAGAAATACCAAAATAAACCAACTCGCCTCAAAAAAATAATTAGGATTGAGTTAACTAAAAAAAAACTCCCTCCTACAACATGATATTCATAAATCCCATTGTTAAAAGAGATATTTGTATGTGAGAGAAACTTAAAGGTGAGTCTCGGTTGTGGAATAGCTTCTATTTGACCATAATATAATGGAAATACTCAAAGTTAAATCGAATTTTGGTATTAAACACTATTAAAGTCGATTTTGATTTTATCTCCCTCCTTTGCATGTGTTGTTAATCTTAAATGGGGACGAGAGTTTTAATACCCACGGTTATACGAAAGATGAGAAGTAGTTTGAGGGTGTAGTTGAAGAGCTCTCGAGGGTTACACACTTAGGGGGCGTTTGGTTGAAGATAAATTTTAAGAATACTAGAGAAATATAATTACTAGATATCTATAGGGAAAGTTGAATAGATGGGGAAGTTAAAAAAAAGTAGTTTGATTTGACAAAATTTTACCAGGGAAATATATGACAAAAAGTGTGTCAACAGTGCTTTACCCGGATTTTCTCAAAAAACCACCCTCAAATCCGGTTTCTAAACAGTGCAAATTCCTATCTTTCTTAAAAAGCTATGCATTTCACATGGATGAGTTTTGGTCAAAAGCTGTTGAAACAAACATTGGTTTTCTAAAAACCAAACTTCATTTGCCTAGAAAAATATTGAAAAGAATGGAACCAAACACCACCTTAAGGTAACTTTGATGCCTCAAAAACATCCCCCTTTTCATTTTGATTCTCCTACTTGTCTCTTGTATGATATGTATTGACTATGATTGTCTCAATGAAATTTTGTGAAATTGTAAAATAATGATTATAATGTGCCTATATTTAAATCTATTGAAATGTAAATGTTTGAGAAGTTACCACGATATTGTACATTGAAAAACTAAAATTTTGTTTATGTTGCTGATTGTGTGATTCTTTTAATTTTTAGCGTTGTTAGTGGTCATTTGTGTACATATATAAATTAGAAATAAATGTTGTACCAAAGAAGGTAAATATGAATACGAGTATATCTTATGTAATATGTTAAGAGTCATACAATAGAACAGAAATGATAGAACTAAGGTAGATAAAGTTTTATTGGAATGTAGTATGCAAGTAAAGCTTGTTGCATGATATGATGATGTATTGCATTACATGGATATATAGAGCAAGCTGAACTTGCTAGTAGAGTTTAAGTTGTTAAACATAATTTCAAATGTTATTTATTTATGCAATGCATCAAGCAAGTAGAGATTGTTATCAAGATTTAGCTCAAAAGCATTATCAATTATTTTGAGTAACAATGACAGAGCCAAAATAATTTATAAGAGGGAGCGAAGAATTCAAAATTTATACTAAATTAGGCAAGGCAACACCTAAAGAATCAATACATAATTATATTTGAAGAATTCTTCAAGTTTTCTTCGTACATGAGGAAAATCAAAGATAAAGGGGTGAATTTATGTTTTACTTTCTTTATCTTTTTAGTCTGAATATAGTTTAAGAAAAAAGTTTGATGAACTTGAAGGGGGCGATCGTCCCTCCTAATTCCTCCCTAACTCCACCATTGTTGAGCAAGCAGAGCTTTCCGTGTGCATCAAGATTCATGATAGATTAATGATTGTAATTTTAGGCCGCAAAACTTGCCATGTAACAAGATATGTTAATGAGAATGAGAGGTCAAACTGTAGGTTATTGTTAGTGACATTTATTCTCATATGTTTTTTTATTTTTATTTTCTTTTTTATAACCATCCAAAAATGTTATTCGAGTGCAAATACTACATCTAACATTTTTTATATAAATAAGGATGTTACACATTATACCATGACCAGAATATAGTTTAAAAGACAAATAATTGCATTAAGGGCGCTTATTCATCTGCTCCCACTTAATGAAATTTGCTTCTAACCGTAAAAGCCTCTACACGCTTGTATTACTAGCATCAGCGATGCTTCGCTAATGAAATGTTTGCTTTTGTTATGGAAACAAATTGCTCTCTAGCATATAACACTGTTAATAATTGTTGCGCCTTTTATTACATTTACTGGTATTCAATGGCCAAAAAAGAAATTTACTAGCATTTTGTCCCTTGCTCAATGGATAGATGACTATTACAGATAAAAAGAAATAAGAATCACTGACTTCGTTTAGCTCTCGTATATACCAAATTCTAGAATCGTGAAGAACCATATATAATGTAAGCATAATTTGTTAGTTTTGATTGCAATAAAAAGTTGTGACAAAACATTGCAGCTAAATTCATATTACCTGCATTTGCTGATAATGTTCATTTTAGGAAATAAGTTTGGTGTCCTGATATAAGATGGCACCTTAATATTTCATTTTCTAATTTATCAAACAGACATCAAACACTCCACAAATTGAACAAATGATGCTTTCCAATTCATATTAGTGTACACAAGATGACAAAAAGGAACTCCACGCATTTTTTCGGTCCAAGACACCACAGGTCATCCCAAAATAACTTGTTACTAGGGTGTTAACGAGTCGAGCAGACTTTTGGTCTTAAAAGGTTAAACCTGTGTTTAAATGTGTCAGTCTGACCAAACCTGTTAACTGTTACGACTATAATTATCGGTCTGTGACCTGACTTATTTACAAAAAATAAAAGTCTGATTGAGCATGTTTAAAAAAAATAAGACAACAAAATTTATCCAAATAGAATATAAAATTAACAGCACTAGTAATTTCATAAATATTTATAAATTCAATGTATATCCAAACATCATAATATGGAACAAAATTATTCAAAAAGTATATTTAACCAATAAAATGAGGTGAAATGGATTGAGAAGAGAGAAAGAGCTATTACAAGTAATATAAAAAATATAAAATAAAAATAAAAATTAATATACTAGGCCAACCTGAGAGCTCTAAGGCCGAACTTTTGAATTGGAACCTGAGACTTTTTTATTAAACGAGTTTTTATACAAGTCCAAGCCTGATTCCAACAACCAATTTTAGGTATGTAAACTCAGACCTTCACGAGCCGAGCCAAAGGCCCCTGAAAAGCCTCTAGGGGGCGTTTGTTTCGGGAGTTTCGTAAACTTTGCTGGGGAAGTGATTGGTGGATTGTTACATCTCCACGTTTGGTTCACTAGATTCATGAAATTTCCCCATCTTTCGTTCTTCCCCATGCTTCGACAATTGCATGTGATTTTTCGTAAAAACACTGTTGAGGATTGCTTCTTCGAAGGTCGAATTTTGTCTGAAATCCGGGGAAGTCAAAAAGTGATATAATTCGGTGACGAATTCACCCCTCGTACGTGACCAACGTTTGCCCAAAACTATACATCACTCATCCAGCTTGCATATGTTGTGAAAGCTGAAGAAATCCAAAACTGGAAACCGAGCAAAGAAGACCGAGCGAAGAAAGCATCTGAAGTCTAAATCATTTGTTTCATTTTCGCTGCTGAGAAGCCCAAATCAAGCTCCACAAAGGTTCGATTCTTCTTCATCTTACCCTATTCCTCTATCTTCTGCACACAAAAAAGAACTTTAAATTCTTTGAGGGTTTTTTTTTGGGGTTTAGTTTAGGGTTGGATTCACTAATAATTTTTTTCTTTCAATTTATTGATTGTTGCTTAGGAGTTGCCATAATTTTTTTATGGCAATGGCACCTTTTTCTTGATTAACCATACACTGTTATATGGAATATGAGTATCGTATGCCTGTGGGAATATATGTTAGAAATGAGACAAGACTAAAATGGTTAACTTCATGAGCCATTGCGCTTAAGCTTTCTATAAGGTTGAGCTAATTTTTTTCCTTTCTATAGGATTTTTTTAAGGTACAGTGACAACTCTAGTCTCAGCCTATGTCCTTTGATTCCACTCCTTGGTGCTCTTCTGGGAATGGTATTTGAAATTGTGCTTGTTTTTTTTTTATTCAAAGTAAACTTATAGATCCTTTCTTTTCTACTCCACTGCACGATGCTCTTGATGCTGATACTGCTATCTTTCAAAATCTATATGTTTTCTAGAAATTCCTAATTGGGGCATTGTTCTCCAAAAGGTTGCCATGGTTGTGCATAATCCTGAGAGTTATTTCAATACAACTCAATTGAAGTTAAACCTATAACAATATCTATTTATATTTGTTAATAAGCTAATTACTAGGTATGTAATTAGAAGTATTTTAATTAGTGCAATAATAAACTTCATCATTAAATGTTATATTTTCTACATAAAATTAACGAAGAAACAAATGTTGAGATTGGATTCACTAACTTTTCAATTCACTTACTTTCCTCCCCATTTTGCTTGTTTATTTTTTTTTATTTGGTAAATATCAACAACTAATTGAAATCTTAACTTGCTCAACTAATTCAATTTTAGATTTGAGACTTTTTTTTCTCCCTAGGAGTTGCCACTTTCAATTTTTTTCTTTTTCTTTTCTAAGATTACTCTGTTATGAAGTAATTGTTTCTGAACGGCTTCTTTTTTTTCTCATTAGTATGTAATTGTTCCTGAACGGCTTCATAAGATTCTTATGAAGTAAAATACAATCTCAATGTGTTCAGTTTCTATATAAATAGCACTTATCAATTTTTGTCTATTTAGTGTTTCTTCACTTTCGAATGTCTGTTAAAGTGTGACTGAATGCAGGAATATTTGCAATGTATCATTCAAGAGGATGAGGATGGCAGTTATGTGGTAGGCATCCTTGACCACCACATGGGCATGGCCATTTTTAATATTGTTAAACTTGCTTCTATAGCTCTAAATATTTGCTGACATGTTACAACATAACTGCAGGCCTGCAATGCGCATAGAGTTAACTGGGAATTATGCAGCTGGGTTTGGCTTATATTGTCATACGAAGCTTCATGCTTGTCCCAGCAGAGTTGGGTTTAAGGTTTGTGCTATACTGTGCTCTGATGGAACAATATTGACATGATTGCTCTTTCATTTGTATGTAAGGGCACAACCTAAGAAAACCCTTAATGAAATGATGCAAATGTTTTAAATTAAGATCCTCATTCCTAATAGATTAATAATTTTGAAATACCAATTTAAATTTTTTAACACTGACGGATTTGTGCACTTTGATTGACCTTAAAAGTGTATTCTTACATTATGGTTGATTGTGGTTAATAATGGGGTCTGATTTGTTGGTACTTCTCTAAAATCTATAAGCTTAACTTATTAGCATTCATGTAGGTACAATTGATAGCATCATTCTGTAGCACGTTTTTAGGAACAATTGTGAGGATCCCCTGTGAGGTGTTAAAGCAAAGGTTGCAGATCACATTGGGTCACTCATTCCAGGAATTGAAAAAGCATTAAATGTAAATAATATTGTCTCAAGTTGTAAATGTTTATTAGCGTATTGTTTATAGTCCTCTGTTTTTATGTTTTTTTATTTTAATTCTTAGTGGGTCATTTATTTTAATTTTTATGTTTTCTGAACTTTTTTGCTGCTTTAGTCTATTCTGCAAACAGTAGTTTTGATTCTCTGCTGGAGTCTCTACTTGCCAGTGCCAAGCCTTCTCCGCATTCAGGTGGCATTGCAATAACTTCAAGACATAGACGTTGTGATCATAGAGCACGAAGAGCATGATGCCAATTTAGGACTGACATTAATTCATCACCAATTCCAAAGAGTATATATAGCACAAATTACATAACTGTAGCAATTTGTTGGAGAAATAAAGCTGATATTTTTTATAATGGTCATGGAGTGAGGTGATTCACACAATCAAATTTTTTTATTTTTGTTATAGGGTGTTCTTGCACTTTGTTGGATGACTGATGCTGAAGCCAAGCCCATACTGTGTTGCTCGTGCAGAGACAATTGTGTTCACAGAGAGAAATCTTGATTGTAACCAGACGTATATAATGAATGAAAAATTTCAGTTCAAATGTGTACTCTTTCTTTTTGTGTTCATTCTTTTTTTTTATCAGATGTTTTTGTCTCCTGCCTTTATAAATATGTTAAAAATAATACTGTTGCTTTTAATTCCTAAATGTGATAACTAGAGCATTTGATAACTACAAAGACTGAATGAGTATTACTGCATAATTCTTAATTATTAAGTCATAGTTGTTTTATGGTAGCGCATCTGCAATTCTAAATATTTTGCTTCATGATTTGGGGTGGAAACATAGCTTGTGGATCCATAAGAGATGACCAGTACCTTAAGATTATTTTTTATTTTTTTTAAGAAAACCTTATAGATGAAATCTGTTGAGATATTTTGGCCCAAAAAGGCTTATTTTAATGTAAAATTAAAATCAAATATGCATTTAGTTTGCAAGAAAAACAAAAACGAATACTGCTCTTAACTAAATAAAAGGAAAACCAGCAGAATGAGGACACAGACCCTAGACCATACCATTTCATTGATTTTCAATCAACAATCCAGCGTGCTTTTAATATGGAAGATGAACTACGCAGAGTAAAGTTGTTTTAGAATTGAACCTGCGTCTCATCTACGGGTCTTGGGTTGCAGAAAAGCATGAATGACAACTGTTTCTCTATTCACAGTCATAAAAAAAAAGTTATTTCTAAAAGGGTTATTTTGTAATTTTACTAAATTTACCCATCAATATTTTATCTTCAACCAAACACACATTCAGGAATTTCACATAATTTTCCTGGTAAAATTTTACTCAACCAAACAACTTTTTTTACATTTTCCTACCAAACTCACTTTCCAACCATTTCCCTATCAATTACATTTCTCTAGTATTCAAAAAATTTCTCCTCAACCAAACGTCCCCTAGTTCATTTATCACCCCTACTTGTTACGTGATGATGTAAATGTAGAATTTTTTGTCAGATAAACCCCCAAAGGCTTCAAATTGGGCCGTGTGTATCCTCAATAATAGCAGAGGTAGGCGAGTTCTCATATTTTTAAATTAACCCAAAAATATTTCCCACCAAGGTAGAGATGAGGACAATTTTTGTACTTAACTTTCTCTTATCTCTACAAAGGTTATTTCATGAATTCAAACATGTGACATTTTAATTACAAAGGAGCAACTTTATACTCACCCTCTTAAGTTGACCCAAAAGAAAAAAGAAAGAAAAAATATCAAGGCAATATAAGCTAAGTCCACATTCAATGATTTTAGAGCATTGATCTCAACTTTGACCTTCCCCACTAACCGTGGATTTTCTCACATCTCAAACATGCCCGACTTATCAAGATCATGTGTTTCTTTATTCCAACTAAACATTGTCTTAATCAAAGCTGAATCTCAAAATAATACAATCAATTCAATAGTTGCAACAAGAATGTCTAATTTGATTCTGTTCATTGCAGAAGATTATAATATCACATTATTTTCTCATGTACAATAATAATAAGCTAGTAAAACATCAGAAAGTAAGAAAGCATTATTTTTATAATAATTGGATGGTACAACATCCTTACTGATACAGCCACTTGATGTCAAAAACAGGTCTCAGTTAATTAGTGAATTTGCTACCTTTTGGCAGCAAAAGTTTTCAGCAATGCCGCTTGGATAATAGAAACAAAAAGTTACCCCAAAACAAAAATTAAATATCAGTGCCTAAAGTGCCTCACATTGGTAAAGAGTAGTGAAACACCATACTTATTACAACATTCTATGGCATCCTTGTCTCTGATACTACCACCTGGTTCTGCAATAACACCAATTCCACTTTCACATGCTTCTTCCACAGCATCTTTCCAAGCTGTTTATAAATCAAGATACATCCTCGTTAAAAAAACAAAAAACAAAACAAAACAAAAGTCTTCTATCTCTGTCTTAGTTATGATCTTGTCAGAACGTATACACCAAAAAAGTTACTATTCCATCCACCACTACAAAAGTCTTTATAACATAGCATGCACAATGAATTCCTGTATTGCAAAATATTTTGTAAATAACCATTTCAACTCAAAAGCTTAAGCCGTAACCCCCAAGGGTAGCTCAGTTGGCAGCTGAGCTCCCAAGGGATTGCTTGATGCAGGGATCAAACCCTGCCTCAAGCAGTTTCTTGGAAAATCTTTGGGGCCAGAGGATAAGCCAAAAATCTTCGGTTGGGGGATTAGTCTCGTCCTTTCTCCGGTTGCGAAGCTTAGTGCACCCACTGTTATAATGAGGGGCTAGCCCAAACGGGCCGTACCCCGAGGGCATGGTGCCCGGAGAAGGTTGAATGGGAATACCTCCTGGCAATGTACCAAAAAAAAAAAAAAAGCTTAAGCCGTAAAGAGAAGGTCACATTAATGATTTTATATATTATATCCCTAACACACCCCTCATACAGGAGCACTTTGGGTTTGATGCGTGGATAATGCCCAAACCAATTTTTTTAGTTTACCTTGTGCTAATTTTAACATATTATTTTTTATCAGTAAACAGATTTGTTTTTATTAGAAAACAGGATGGTAAGAAAATCAAACTCATAACTACTTGGTCACATGGGCTCATATCATGTAAAAAATTATTTCAACACAAAAACTTAAACAGTTAAGTAAAGGCCACATTAATGGTTTAATATATTATATCTCTAACATATATTACATTAACACTTACCAAATGGAAAGAAGGCATCACTAGCCAAGGCTGCTCCTTTAACATCATCTCCAGCTTTCCTCATTGCTATTCTTAAACTCTCCAGACGGTTTGGTTGCCCACTTCCCATACCTAACATACAATTGTCCTGCCAAAAATTATTAACAAAAAGGATCAGATTCTTAAACCTGCTCCATTAAAGCATAGAAAAGTTTCAAGATGTAGCAGATGACAACCTTAGCTATCACAATAGCATTGCTTTTGACATGCTTCACGCACAACCACGCAAACTCCGCATCACGAAGCTCACCATCCTGTGGAGATTTCTCAGAGACTAGGCTGAACTGGATTTCTTGTGGGGTTAAGTCATCGGAATCCTGAGCTAACCACCCTCCACCAACTTGTCTGAGTGAAAGCTTTCCTGCTTCATTCTTTTTTGCCTCAAGAATCCTTAGAGTCTTTGACTTTCCACGAAGAATCTCAAGTCCCTTAGATGTATAGCTCGGTGCAACCACAATTTCATAGAACATCCTTGTCTCCCCATCTGTTGGGCTTCTAAATTCTCGAATTTCTTTAGCAAGTGCCTAAAATATATATATAAAGCATTAAATATATATTATTGCACCTCTTCATTGCCAAGATGGGATCTTAAAAAAGCAAGATAAGGAAAGTGCCTCTATCTTCACAAACGAGACAATGACACATGACCCCAGCCCTTGGCTTAAAATATGAAACCATGGACTTGATCACCATGTATCAATTCAACATCAACATCATCTATATCTGAAACTAGTCGAGATTGACGGTTGATGAACCCAAATAAAAAGCAAGGAAAGAATGAGGAAAAAGAAGGAAAAAAATAAATATTTGAATTTTGACACTAATGCAACGACAACAATCAAGCTTCATCATACTAGGTGGAGTTAACTATTTTGACACTGTACACCCAATCAAATTGCTTGCCAAATTGTAGACGTTCCTAGGATACACATTCAGTAAGGGATTTGAGATGGATACCTCATCAACTTCCACGTTGAAAGCTACAATTCCACCAAATGCACTCACTGGATCAGCTTTAACAGCTAGTCTATAGGCTTCGAGAATATCATCACGTGATGCTACCCCACATGGATTAGTATGCTTCACTACCACGCATGTGGGGTTCCTAAACTCACATACACAGTTCCAAGCAGCATCAGCATCCAAGTAGTTATTATACGACATCTCCTGCATTAGAATGTTAAGGTTTTAAGACCATGTAAGGCATTATATTAAATGAAGATTTATAGAAAACTATACAATTTTTCAGTCAAAAACTTTCAACCCCAAACATGATACAATAGCTTTTAAAATACTCAAAATATATTTACCAGTAATTTTAGATTATTAGACAAAAGAAATTAGTAGCCGACACCCACCTTTCCGTGGTGTTGAATGGATGTAGCAATTCCACCAGCATTAACCTCGGAAAGTCTTTTGTCAACATAGAATGCAGCTTTTTGATGAGGATTTTCACCATAACGGAGAGAACTTTTGAGTGAAAGAGGCACTGTCAAGCTCGGAGGAAATTTATCTGTCATAAAAATGAGAACACAAGTCAATCTAAACAGTCAAGTATGAATTAATAATTCTTCACAAACTTATAACAGAAATACCTCCCACACTCTGCTTCCACAGCCACTCAGATACTGCAGAGTCATAGGAAGCAACATGCTGAAAAGCTTTCCAAGCAAGCTTTAGCCTGAACTTCTGATCATCGTGGTTTCCTTTAAGAAATTCCAGAAGGGAAGGGTAATCTTCTGAATCCACCACTACCAAAACATCCTTGTGATTCTGCTCAAATAAGAATTTATCACCTTATTTTAAAGATATTTCAATAGAAAAACTGAAAATTTCAGCACAAAGACAGTATGCAATGAACAAGGATCCTTCGTCTTTTCTTTTTAGTGGACAGATCCTTCTTTTATTTTCCACAGAAGTAGTTTAGTGGTATTTGGCTAACAGAATATTTTCCAAGCCAATTTACAAAACTTTTAAGATATAATGACAAGATAAAGATTTATGGGGAAAAGATTTTGTCATCATATCAAATATAAAAAAAGTTAGAATTTTCAGTCAAACAAACCACCTTTGCAGCAGCTCTAATCATCGTTGGACCACCAATGTCAATATTTTCAATTCCATCCTCAAAATCAATGCCTCCAGTTGATGTAACTTTATCATAAAATGGGTACAAGTTCACCACCACAACATCAAAAGTACCTGAAAAGAAAAACTTCTAGTGAAATCAATAAAATACCTAAATCTGACAAACAGAATGAACACGGAACTCCAAATTTAACATAACAAAATTTTAGCACCATGTAACAGAGCTGATAACATGACTTACCAATACCATGTGTACTGAGAGCTTCAATATGATGTTTTTGGTCTCTTCGAGCAAGGATACCCCCATGTATGTTAGGATGCAAAGTTTTGACACGACCATCAAGCTGTGAAGAAAAGCCAAGACATTTTTGTTACGAAGTCTACGAACTCGTACAAGGTCAAGCAAACATCGACAGAATTGGTAGACATTCTGCCAGAAAGTCCACAAGCCTGAATTTGGACCTGGTTTTAACCTCAAAATGTGTCGCTTACTGTCCATAAATATATAATTCATTCATTATGCTATGTGCCTTCACCTAACAACTTAAACTTTTGAAATAGTTGGTTAGTGACAAGTTATCTGGACCTCTATCGCCAAGTGGTCTGGAGTTCGATCCACGTCGCACCTATTCCTCTAATGAAAAATTAAATTTCGGCACAAGTTAGACGAGTCTGTCCATTGCCCACACTTCAAGCTCGAAGGACTTTTGCATAAGGGGGCGTGTTAGAGATGTTAATATAAAACCATTTATGTCTCTTCACCTAACAGTTAAAGCTTTTGGGATATTTGGTTCATGGTAATTACCAAAGCAAGCATGATTGTCCATCAATTGAAAGTTCAAAACTTTGATACCACAATATTTCATATTGGAAATGTTTCCTTAAAGTTAGATATATAAGCAACCAAGAGATGAGAAGCCATGATCCTAGTACTGACAAAAACTTTTAGACTTCAGTACAAATGTCACAACCAACATTCAAGTAAAATTTATCAACATTATAACAAAAGAAACACTATAACACCTTAGTTTGGCAGGAAAATATCAATGAAAAACCAAAGTCTTATGATCCAAGAAAAACACAAAAAACAGCATAGAATGAGCAATTAAGAAATATGATTAGTTTAAACACATGAGAATCCATACACATAACATCAGAAGTTCCAATAAATGAATTTGATCATGAGACTTTGGGAAGGAGAACTCTAGCTACAAAGCACTCACCATTTCAGGGAACTGAGTAAGTTGTTCAACTTTAGTAACAGCCACTCCAGCACCCTCCAATGCAGCAGCTGTTCCTCCAGTTGAAACAATAGTGTATCTACAATTTAATAACAGGACTATCATTATATAAACTTCTTAAAAACAGGTATGAATATATTGTACTAAAAAAAGTATGAACATGAGAAACAATAATATTATAACATGTTAAAGGGGAGGGGGGGGGGGGGGGACACCCATTAATATTAATAACTTACCCTAATTCCAGGAGCCCATTCCCAACAAATGCGAGATCCTTCTTGTCTGACAATGATATTAAGGCTTGCTTGCTGCCTGTTTCACAGCAAAAGAACACATAATGCCAGAAACTGTCATTTAAAAAGAAAAAAAAAATCAAAAATCATCAAAGCACACAGCATGGCTATATTTAGCATAAAAAAAGTATCAGTAAACATGATATTGTCTACAATTACTTTAGAATTAAAATTAACCAGTTTGTGCATGCAACAGAGGAAAGGAAAATTATTATAAGCATTTTCATGATGTAAATTATACACCCCAAAAAATTGGAGTAATGTGCATCTTGAATAAGGAGTTATTCCTGAATGCCAACATGTGGATGTGTTTCATTTAGACTCGAGCCCTGAATTTTTTAAATTATATTCTATTTGATATCTTTCTTAGATGTGATGGGTATTTCAGGGAATTTGTTAACTGTGTCTGCTGTATTAAAATATTTTCTCCTCAAGAAGCGCGGAAGATGAGTTTGGATGGATATTTTGACATTGGTGGCATTCCAAATCCAAATCAAGCCTGTAGCAGCTCTGACGGTCAAAACTCGAAAAAACTTAAATGGGGTCCAGTACGTAATAATATGCTAACTATTCTTCTATGTTGGTAACTTAGGTCTAGGAGACATTCATCATTGTCCCAAAGGAAGTTATTAACTATGCGATTGTGTCTTGCATTAGGACTTAAAAGTGATCCTTTGCAGTTGAAAGCAGCAGAAAATTTGGCACTTCACTGGATATGCAAATTGGAAGAGCCAAACGAAAGTGGAAAAACTAATTGCCCCTAATGCTACAACTTCATTCATCAAGGTGTTAATTAACAGAAGAATCAACACTTATGCAGCTGATGTCTACTCAGCTTCTACCCATTTATGTGATGCAAATAACAGAAGCGGGAAAGTACATTAACAAATAAAATATAGGAGGAAATGACTCAAATGGGCTTTGAACGTCAGGTTTTATATGTGGGAATAGGGATAAAAAGCAACTGAGTTAAAATTCACAAATGTGCCTGGTAATCAAGAATAAAAATTACAATTTCATTTTAGCATTTGATATTGTCACAATCCTGCTATAAAGAACTAATGAAAATTGTTAAAAACTTTCTTGCTGACATAATTTTCTAGGATGGAAATTCATATTTATTTCAGAGAAAGTTTCAGCTATGTAGAATTCTTCTATCTATTCTTTTATCACTCCTCACTAGTCACTGGATTGACCAAGACGAATGTGATGTTAATTCATTACTAAACAGCTCTTAACACTAAATGTGAACAAAGCTTTGGTGCTTTGACAGATTACATAAAATACATATTTCAGTAGCAAATTAGTCATATTAAAGGTGTATGATACCAATAGAAAAATGAAACTCACATCTTTCTGCCTCATCACTCAGGGCAAAACAGTAGCAAAAAGGTGAATACTAAAAGGTAAAGAACTGAATCACTTCTTTCTGCCATCTATAGAGAAAGGATGGCACTAAGTTTAATTAAGTAATCTGGCTTTACTAATTTGAAGTGCTTACTGCAAGGGGAGTCTTAGAAATTAATCATCAGCAAAACATCCACCAATATCATCTTTGGCATAAAATGAATTATTCTTTGCACTACTCCAGAGAATAAGAGGCATAATCAGATAAATGACTCAATGATTGATTATCTATGAATAAATTATATATAAAAGAAAAAAGACTCATTAGCAAGCCTAAAAACTCAGAAGAATCTCAGAGAGGAGTAATCTTAGAAGGTCAAGCCAGAAAAAAAGAAATCAAAAGCAATATTAATAGCGAAATATAACTACCCTTTGAGATTAGAATAACTAAGAGAGTTACCATAAATTTTTTTTATTAAAGTGCCAGAAAGCCATGTAACTGAAGAATCCAACACCAAAGACATTAATATTGCTGCTATCATAGATGTCATTCTAGACTGAACCACAGTACCCCGCCCCATTAAAGGCCATAACTACGGTGTCGTAAAAATCACCCAAATGATTTTTAAAAATAAATAAATAAATAAAGATTTCATTTTGTTCTTAGGGGAAAAAAAAAAGCAAAATATAAAACCCACCATAAAATTATTGAAAAAACAGAAAAATAAAATAAAAAGGGTGGTAAGAATTAGAAGTACCAGGAGAAAAGGAAGCAGAAGCAGTTTTAGGCACTGACACTGTTTCAGTTTCAGCCATGGCTTTGATGGGAATACACCTGAAGCGCAGTGAAGATGAACGAACCTGAACATACCCATTTGAAAACCAATACCATTGAATAAGAGTAAATTCAGATAAAATAAAATAAAATAAAATGTAGTAGTAGTGAACAGGAGAGTCAAAAGAAGAAGAAAAATACCCAAGTTGTGGGAAGGAGATGAGAAGAGAAGTGATGGTTAGTTGTGAGGGAAGAAGGAGAGTTAAGGGTTGCACAGAGAATGCGAGTGGAAGTTGTGGCGGTGGCGGTGGCGGTGGAAGAAGCACCAAACCCAAACATCCTCTGTGTGAGTCCTTGGTGTTTGAACAACCTACACAACTTATGTTATGTCTAACTTGACTTAGGTTTGATTCTTGTACTTTTTTCAAAGTGTCGTTTTGTGCTCTTCAATGGGCACTTACCAAACCCAACGCTCCAAAAGGCACATGGTTCCAATTGCAAGTCTAATGTCGTTTGCATAATGTGATTCTTCTTTGCTTTGTATCCATTCTTCTTTTTATTTTGTATTTTGATTTTGAATTTGATTATGATTTGAATATTATGGATTTGAAGGAAAAACATAATATCTTTTGTCTCATTATATGATGATGAGAAATCTGCTGTTTCAGTTCGTTTTTATTAAGGCGTGTATACTTCGAAAGTAAATGACTTTTTAGTTTCATTTTCAAAGTTTTTTTATTCTCAGTGTCATCTTTGGAAGGGGTTTAAAATCTTAATACTGGATGCACTCTGAATCGGATTAGTTGCAACTAATCGATTGGAATATTTCTAAAAAAAAAGTTTTGTTATTCCGTTTTATTTGTCATTTTAAACAAAAAAAATGTAAATAAAAAAATCATTAGAGAAAAATTATGTGACTTTTAAAATTTAAATTTTAAATAAAAAATATCAGATTATATTTTTTTCACTTAAAATGACATAAATATATATCTTTGAAAGGATAAATATGTTTTCCTATTTTATTTAAATTTATTTTCTATTAAGTTTATGATCCTTTCATATCTTTTTAGATGTGAAAAAAAATATCAGTTTGGAAAAAAAAATTAATTATTAAAATAAAATTCAATCAATTATTTTTTAAAATGGTTACTTTTCTTTATAAAAAACTTTTGCAGAATTAATTTTATTAAATACTATTCAATATGTCACGTCGACGAGAAGACCAACATTCGAAAAGTATGAGTTAGAGGACCATAATACATAGAAGGGAATCAACAAAAAGGTATGCAAAAATATGATTTTTATTATTATTTTTTTGCAACACTAGGATTAGGGTTGAGAAGATTTTGAATTATTTATGCTATTTCTATATATGATTTCGTTATCAGTGGTAACTTTTCTTAACACGTTTCGCAATCTTCTCTTAATTCTAGAAAAATAATTTGACTTAATTAAGTGAATATGATTTGATAATATTAATTATTTGAATATGTTTTGGACGAACATTAATAAGTTAATTTCTAATATTTGTCTCCCTATTTACTTACTAGGGTTTTTCCCTTATATATATCTTAATAAATGGTTATAATAATGGTGGACAGTTATCGGTAATGCCATTATTGAGATTGTGGTGGGATCCTTGAACACCACTATGCTTGGGTTACAGGCATGTTATAGGTTCTAGGCCCAAGTGATACACCTTATCCCAATGTCCTAACTCTGATTTGGGCTTGCCTAAGCCCATATAACCAACCCGAAACATTAAGCTTCCCAACTCGGAGTATAATCTCTGTCGTACTCCGAGTTAATAATATGGGTTGTTCTTATGTAGCATCGCCTAATATTACTTTAAAGGTACTATCCTTTAGAGGTATTATCATTGAAATTTTAGAGTTCACAATAGAGGGGAGATAATCGATGGCTGCTCACACTTCCACGGCGGAGGAGGAAGATCTCCTCCAGGGAAGTATCAAAAATACGAAGGAGGATGCCATGGTGGACTGTGCTGAGACAGGAGCTGGACAAAGTCAAGGGACAATTTTGTTGGGGGCGAGGAAGGTGATTTCATATAAGGATAGCTTAATGCAGTTTAATGGGAACTGGGGAGGAGCAGAAAGTGTGGAGAATGATTGGTTATCAAAGCTGAAAAAGGATGAGGAAGATCTAGAAGCTAAGTTGAGGTAAGTGGAGATTAGGGAAGATGATCCTTTCTGTCCCACATACAAGTTTCCAGTAAAGAATACAAGGAAAATTGTAAAATAGTGGGGAAATACACTGATAATAAAACTACTAGGGAAGAGGTTGGGAGCGAAGTTTTTTACTAATAGACTTCAGAAGATGTGGGGTTTAACTGGTGCTCATGAGTTCATTGATCTTGAGAATGATTATTACTTGGTGAGATTTAGTAATGAGAAGGATTATACTCATGTTTTGCATGAGGATCCTTGGGTGGTTGCTGATCACTATGTAATAGTACAACGATGGAGACCTTTTTTTGATCCGTTTGAAGACTCTGTCACAAAGCTTGCTATGTGGAACATAATACCTGGTCTTCCATTGAATTATACACGTCTCAGCATCTCTGGAGAATTGGAAGTATGTTTGGAAAATCACTTAAAATTGATCAGAATTCTATCAAGCGATGTGAAGTATGAGAGGGGGAGATAACACAGAGGGCAAGGTTTGCTAGAATTTGTGTGGAGGTAGACTTGCGAAAGGCTTTTTTGTTAAAATTCAATATTTACGGGCATGTGTTTCAGGTTGCATATGAGGGATTACATATGATTTGTTTTAAGTGTGGACGATTTGGTCATAGGAAGGATAGTTGTCCAACTATTATCCATGCAGAGAAAAGTTCAGATGATATGGGGCATGGGCCAAAGCCTGTTCTTGGAAAGTCAAGGAGAATAGTGGAGAAGCTTTTGGGATTGGATGATTGTTCAAAGACCCACACGAGGAAGGAAGAATTACCAGGCGAACCTGAACCAGGGAGGAAATGCAAAAGAGATACCACGAAAGGGTGGCGGAGCTGTGCAGAGACCGCCCACGAAGTCAGGTGGGACACGTTACGAAATATTAAATTATGATTTGAATGCTGATTTGAATACCATAAGTCAGGTTCAAGAAACGCCCATAGATTTTATGCAGAATAATATTTCAAAGGAAACAGTTGAGATAGCTGGTGGTAACGGAAAGGAAGTTATGGAAATAAAAGGAAATAGTCAGTTAAGACTTAGGAGTTTGTGAAAAAACTGACGTGGAAGGTGGAGCCCCTATTGCAATGAAGGAAAAAGGAAGTGTGTCAGGTACGAAGGATAGCCTTGCGCCCAATCCAAGATTTGGGAATAATCCTAAGATTAATAAATCTAATTCAAAGGTAGTAAAACAGATATGTGGTGGGGGCACACTTCTTAAACCCAGGTCTAGTATCAAGAATTCAACTATGATTTCTAAGGCCAATCCAAAACCAGACCATGGTGTATCTCTGATACCTTCGGATGGAAATCGCATGGAAAAACAAATAGGTCAGAATCCTGCAAAGACAGTTCAGCAACATGATGACCAAATTAGGCCAAAAACTTGTTGCGTAGAATCGGCAAGTGCACCGATCGTACCAAGTAATAAAAGGGTAAGTAGAGATCGTCTCCACGAGGATTGAGGCACCAAAATTATTTTAACTATTCCTTTCTTGTTGGATGAATAAAATTGATTTAAGAGTAATTGTGTTTGTAAAAATTCAGAATAATTCAAAACTTGTGAATAATTCAAGGATGCTTTTGAAAACTTGAGAATAACAAATTAAGATTGAGAAAACATGTAAAAGAATATTGCGGTAAAAGACACCAACACCTTTCTGATCCTCACCTTGTAATATTAATTAATGTTTACATTTAATTACCCATTGATCAAACAATTCACCATCTATTAATTGGTTAGTCAAGCCCTGATTCCTAAGTGGTCTTAACTTTATTAACCCTATTAGAATCTTAATCCCTTAGAAATCCTTTTTCAAGTTAATCCTTTAAACCAGTGAATTTTTCACGTTTGCAATTCATGTAACCTATCCCTAATGTATGCATGAATTGTTATTTTACCCTCTGTCAGGAACTAGAATTTCAATATTCCTATTGAAAACCCTAACTCTCGCAATCCCAAAAGAGTGATCAATTCTAGAAAAATTATAAGATGAAGAACAGGATAAAATAAATGCAATTGAAATAATTAAATATAAAAATTAACCAAATTACAAGGGGTTCACATCAAGGGTTGTGACCCTTACCACAATAATAAAAGACTAGCCAGACATGTTCATGTCTGACAATTCAATGTATGGAAAAGAATTCATAAATAAATAAAAACCAGAAAATTTGGGAAGAAGAAGCTTGCTCCGCGTTCCCTGCCTTCGTCAATTTCTCCTTGAAAAAATTGTTTTTGCTCATTAGGTTTCTAACTCCATTTATAGCCCAAGACTCAATCAGGTTAAAATCTTTTAAAAGATTTGATTTGATTTCCTAATTTCGTCCAAATCTGCACGTTAAAAACACACAGAACATTGTCGCGCGATTAGCACCAGATCCACGCTAATCGCGCGATGACCAAGTGGAAAACTCTCTTTCTAGCGCGGTTAGCGTGAACACCGCGCCATTAGCGCGAATTACAGTGGTTTCTGACCCTTCTTCCCGTCTTGTGGCGCGATCCGCGCCATCTTCATGCTAATCGCGTGAAGTAGTGGTTCGAAACCCAGCTTTCTTTCATGCTTTTCTCCTGTAAAAACATACAAACAGAGTGAAAGTGTGCCTGAAGGAAACTTATCAAGGATTCATTAAAAATGCTACTTTTTATCACTGAGTTACTATCAAATCCTTGTTCTTTTTGCCCTGAAATACCTATATGCTGAAGGCACATCAAAAAATTCCCAGATTTAGATATTGTTGTCCCCAGCAATAAATAAAATCAAACATTAAGCAGCAATGACAATTCTGTAAGAAGAATTCATGTCCTCAATGACATTTTTCTACATGGAAGAAATTCAGAGTTTATAATGCTGTGCATGAATGAATTCTAGTTGAAATTTTCGAAAATCACTTTTTGCATAAGGAATTAGAATCTAGCTTAATCACTCCTTACCAAGATAATCGCTGCACTTTCCAATCTTGTGTATAAGGTTCTCTCTCAGTCCATCAGTGCAATAAGACTACCATAGGCTTGATCCCATTCTCGGGTTCCTAAAGATAAGGAACTCATAAACGTGCACAATTAGATCCAAAGGTCTTGGCAGGTTGTAACTTGGCTTAAGCTAGGGTATGAATATTTGGGGAAGTGGCTAATCTTTGACTGTATATGAGATTGAAACACAACAACATTT